TTCTTCTTCTGCGGTCTGCATTTTAATTCTAGACATCACATGCAGCAATGAATTGTGGGTAATACACTTCGCTGAAATCCATAAAAATGCAGACTTCGCAGAAGGGCAGAAATAGTACCCAAAATGGGCGGGGCGAAGGGCGGATGTGGAGAATGTGGGACACACTACGCACTCAAACCCTTCAACATGAACGCACATTTGAAGTGCACAAGGGCAGAACGAGGGTGGGAGTGTGTGTCTTGGGACAAGGCCTTTGTTTACATTTTGTGAAGAAGGAAGTTGTGCTCCATGTCTTGTTCAGAGGTTTTCATGTCGATCCCTTCGGTGGTTCTTGGTGCAGCGCCTCCACAGGCGAGGGAGGGAACAGTTTGTTCACAGGGTTTGGTTCGTTTGACAAAGTGCAGTGAAAGWGAAATACATCAGCTAAAAATGTAATCGACGTTGCCACTTTGGTTCCTATCAAACCGAGTCTACTGGACTGTAGGTGTTTGATTGCAGAATGTTTTTGTTCTTTCAGGACGTCGTATCCCGACTGGCAGAAAACTTATGAAACCCTCGCYGAGATGGTGGTGCCTCGATCTTCAAAGTAAGACACCTAAAGCCAGCATCCAGAAGTTTACACTTMTCTCTCTGATGTGTTACTGCTCTCAACCACGCGGGTGTTTGTTCCTTCAGTCTGCTGTTTGAGGACTACGACAGCGGGCTGTTCAGCGTCACTCTGTTCAGAAAAGCCATCGATGACTTCAAACACAAAGCCAGAGAGAGCAAGTAGGTTCTGTTGTCACAAAACGTTTTAGAAATTACACAAAGAAAGGTGTGAGAAGTATCTGCATGGGGRAAAAATGTTTTCAGAAGCCACTGCAGTAAATAGCTCAACTTTATCAGAAAGAGCTGCAGGGTGTTGGACCGTCGTGTTTCTGTTTCTGAGGTGTTATGGATCTGAGCTTCTCCAGTGCTGTATGAACAATATTTCTTCAGTTTGTTTCTATGTGATGAAGAAGCACAAACAGAAGACATCAGTGAAAAACRTTATCACTGTTTCTGTTCCCGTAGGTTCACAGTGAGAGACTTTCAGTACAATGAAGAGGAGCTGAAGGCCGACAAAGAGGAGATGACCCGGCTCTCCACAGACAAGAAGAAGCAATTTGTAAGTTTTTCCCAAAACTGACTCTTTATTTCTTTAAAATGTTTGTTTTACTAATGCTTCAATTTATTTACTCTCTTTGGTTTGACATTGATCATATACTGTACACTCCTGATCAAAATCTTAAGACCAGTCAAAAAAGTGCCAGAATTTGCATTTTGCACTATTGGATCTTAAGAAGGTTCTAAGTAGAGMTTCACAATGTTAAAAGAAGAAATCAGTGCAAGAGACAAGAACTTTTGAGCAGGGAATTTTCTGAAAACTG